AAGCAAATAATGCTCTTCTAAGAAAAATCAAGGAAGTCTTTTTCAGGGAATCGTGAAACTTTGAATATATCTTGGCCTGTGTTTTCCAACGAAACTTGTGAATATCGGCGTTGAAAAATTTCGAAAGAATTTAAAGATTACTTCACAATTTCCTCGACAAAGCTTTAAAAAATCCATCAATAATACGCTTGAAGACGTTCTCCGATAGAAAGGTATTCTTTGTCTATGCAGGAAAAATTAAATAACATCGTATTCATCATATTATTTTAAACGAATGCATCATGGAAATCGAATGAATTTGTTTTGAACAACGTGTTGGCAGCTCCAATTTTGAAATTCAAATTTATAAATTTAAAAAATGCCATCAAGATATCGCTAATGATTTAAAAAAATAAAGTCCATACCGTCCTCTAATTAGTAAACACCGTTTGTTGGCTTGATTTTACTAACGATCTCCATAGTTTTTTTAGGATTAGTAGTTTAAAGTGTTTTCCTCAACAGTTTAGAGTTTACACAAGAACACAAAGCTTGAACTGAAATTGGGCAGCTCGAAAAACCTCATTTTTTTACACGACCTCATTTTAGGCCACAAAATTCTTTTCATGATTCAATAAAACGGAAATTCCTCAAGCTCAATAAAATCATAAAATATTTTTATTTTTTCTGAATCACGCTCAAACAAGCCCTTTTCCCCCTTTCATAATTAAATCAAATCTGAAAAAAAACATTCAGCGCAGGAATTTTGTTGAGCAGCGTCCCGGAATTTTCTTCTTGCAAAAATGTCCAACGACTTTGTACAAGTCTTAAAAGGAATACAGGAAGTTCATTTAATCAATAACCTAAACTTATACAATAACCTGCCTGGTTCTTTCTGGTGGCCCCTTGCCAAAACCCAAGGAGAAAAAATACGTACAGTACATATATAAATAGAGCATAAATCGGCCCGATGATGATCATCATCAACATCAATGGAGGGGTGTGGGGGGGGGCGGGGAAACAACGAGCAAGAACCGACGCGCGCCGACTCGCCAATTTCAGGAATCCGCCAGCAAAAAATTCCGCTCCGCCAATCCACTTCCAATGACACAAGTCGGATTCCCAACGCGTTTTCTTCTCTCCTTTCTCCCCACACATGAACAGTGAACAGAAGAAGAAAAAAAACAACCCGGTTACAAATTCCTTCCAGGACAAACGTCAAAGAAATAAATAAAAACGAGCTATTTTTCTCTCTCTCTTTCGCTCACTGAGCTGATCGCAAGAATTTCTTGCTTCCGTTAAGCTTCTGCCTTTGTTCACTTTACTACAACGATACCATCTTTCCCTCCTTTTTCAGTCGGCTTGTAATGTTTTTTTTTTTCAAACTTGTTTTTTTATCTTATCCTTTAAAGCCTTCGAAAATTGAGTGTTTACCACGTCAATTTGCTGAGTTTTTAACAGCCAATTAGAGTGTTTTCAGACCTTTTTTTATACTGAAAACTAGCTCAGACCTGAAACGTTGTTGCATATTTTCCGTTAGGCAATAACTCTTCGATAAATTTCAAAATTTTATTTTCAAACTGTATTTTATTTCAACCCCTGTTGGCCAAGTTTGTCGTTTCCTGGCAGTAATTCACGTGATTTCAGACGGTTTTTCCAGCACTGTTGTTGTGAAAAGACCGGGAAAATGTACACCTGACAAAAAATTAATTCACAATCAACCTGGGAAATAAATTTACCACCACAAACTCGACGTGAACCCCGACGCTCCTTGAACTGTGTTTCAAAGAGACGACTAAATTTTAGTTATTGAAGCTTTTTATAACATACACGAAATGCGATAAAATAGGGCTTTTCACTCTGGTAGACGGTAGATTAAAAAATGAGGATACTGACTAAATAAATGATGCAACGTCGTATTTTCCTGGAATTATGGACGCCTTTTGAAGAGTAGGATAATATTTCTGATTTTTTATCAGAGGCTTCTACAGTCAACTTAGCAACGGATTAGCGTAATCTAATCCTTATTTCAACTGATCATCAAATAAATTCTCCACCAAGCAACAACATTCGCCAATAATTGAACATTTTCTTTTTAACTTCCAGCAACATTGGAACGACGATACAATATCCAAACTTTTTTCTCCTTTCGAAAAGAACCACAAGTATTGACTGGCCGGACACTTTCTATTTCCGGCCGAACTTTTCAGACAGGAAGGATATGAGAGAAGAAGAGGAGTTGGGGGGGGGGGGGAAAGAAGAAAAAAAGGAAAAGCCGGAAGAGTAGAAGGGATTTCGGGATCAGTCACCTCACACACACACGTGTGTGTCTTCCGAAGACACTTTTTTTTCTCTTCACTTTCTTTTTCTATTTTATTTCAGTTACGATACTTTCTTTCTCTCAATCCTCTTCGTGTGTCGAGGCAAGAAACCAACGGCCAACAGCTGTCCGTAGGCTGGGGCGAAGGCTTAAAGGACGAAGCAGCTGACACAAAGGATTGGGTAAAGAAGGCCAGAGGAGAGAGTGTGTGTGTGTGTGTACGACAAAGGTCTAAGTTCAGTGAAAAATCCTCATCTTTTTTTTCGCAGACTCTAATTTACATTTTTTTACTCGTGTTTGTAAACATATTTATCGCAAAGTTCGCTGCGCATTTTTCTCTCATTGGTTGAGTAACCTTGGTGACCCTCGTGGAAAAGCTTCGCGTCTGTCATATCTGATAAAATCCCGCTGGTGAATCTTGAGGAATTCCAGCGGAAATAAAGCGTATTCGTAAAATAAACCGTAACACAATTGTAAGACCACTTGCAATACGAAACATGATCGATTTCAATATAATTCATTGTGAATCTAACTAACGAAAATGCAAATCCGCCGAATACGTCGGGATCGGAGCAATTATATTTTTCAAGCAATTTAATCCTGTGCTTCGAAAATCATAGAACAATGTTCCAGTTTACCCATAACCCGTATTCATAGAATACACTATAACACAATTTCATTTACTGTATACCACTTATAATAATTGAGCATCCTCGATCTCAATAGAATTTATCGTGAATGGTGATGAGCCATCTGACTTAAAAATGCGATGAAAATTCACAGAATAAATTGAGATTAGAGCAAATAATATATTTTCCAGTAATTCAAGACAGTAATACGAAAAATCATAAAATAATGCTTCATTTTAACCATAAAAATTACTTTGAAAATTAGTCCGAATTATTTGTTCATATTTTCAGTGAAACAAGGTATCAGAGAAGAGGTCAAACACGATAAATTGAAAAAAAGGGCCAAAATATTTCAGATAATTTTACTTTATTCGCGTGATTTCAGCTAAATTCTAAGCAAAGTTTCTCAGAAAATTTTATTTGCGGAGTACGCTTAAATCACCCTTAACGCAGATAAATCTTCTTTAAGTAAACTAGACCTTCCCGTAAATTATGACTGTGTCCTGATAAATCGATATTAACCTTGGTGTATTTTCGTGATTCTACCTTCTTCGCATTTTAAACTTCGCTTTCAGGAACATCTAGCTCAAAAAAGTCAATTTTTTCAAGTATACCTCTCCACATACTTCATCACATACACAATATGATGAGAGAACAATTTTATAAGAACGTTTTTCGTTAGCTCTAGGACATGGTCACTAAAAAAAGAGTTGCAATTATTTTGAATACCTGATTTCACGTAAAAAAACGCAAGAAATTCTATAAAATGCAATTCCGGAGAGTGAGCATGATTATCGCATAGTGATCAATGTGATTCAAATCAACAGGATTTCTTGTAAATTTAAAAAACAACCCAATTGTAAAATTAGTCGGAATATGATGGAACTTCACTCATTTAAAATGTCTTGCATCGCCCTCAACTCAAAAACAACCCTTTTCGAAATACACGGGAATAAAAAATTAGATTGATTATTATTGCGGCGGGGGGGGGGGAAGCCTATCAAACCCCTCAAGTCACGTTGAACCTAATTCAACTTCATTAATAAAAAATTTCTGGATTGACATTCCAGAAAATATCCTGCTCTCAAGGCTTTCTATAGACATTATCACTTTTTACAGACGGAATCATGCTCCTTTCACACTCCATCAACAAAAAATAATGACTGCTTCAATACTTGTGGGAATGTTGATTGAACCTTGAGAACACTGAAAAGCAGAAAATAAAGCTTTCTGTTCATTTATATTGGGCGCAAAAGGCCTCAATATAATTTGATGTCAAGTGCTTTCAAAATTAAAATAAAAACACGTTATTCAGTCCGGGACAGGACCAGGATTCCGTTTTGGAATTCCTAGTTTAAAGGGATAAGATATATTTCAAATAGACACAACTGATTAACAACTCAATGAGTTTGACTTGCGACTTGCAGGAGTAAATGTGAATAAGTTGGGAATAACACAGCTGACATTAAACTGATCTAATGATTTTAAGAAATGCGCTCCTTATATAAGACAAAAATAATTAACCTTCATCAGGTTTTACTTTACAATCGGAGTAGGAAAAGCATATCGTCGAATATGCTGCAGTGCGATTTTGAGGAGGTACGTTATTGTACCCGGCGTGCATGCCCATCAATTCATTTATACTGAATTGCCCATTCTGAAGTAATTTGAGTGAGAAACGATGGAATACGGGGAAAAAAATAAATTACGGGAAATCAAAACGACAACAACAAACTTCGAGACACGTAACGTACCGATTTCAAATAAGCACCCGAAAATACCTTGCCCCGGTCGAGTTACCCGAGCAGAGACGGCAACCTATCGATTTATTCCTCTGTCTCCAGCGAAAACCCCCTTTTTCCCCCCCCCCCCCCCCCCCCCGAACGTGGCCTGAAAATTCGAACCCGTTTTCCGACGGGGGTCTCGAGGAATTCAATTACCTCAGCCAATCCGGCTTCCTCCGAGAGAAACACGACACTCGACGGTGTCGAGTTTCCTGTGCTACCTGTCAACCGCGTCGCGACGAATTACGACGCAACAAAAAAATAAAATGAAATGAAAAATGTTCCGGGGTTTCATTCGTGTAAAAACAAAGCCCCCCAGGGGCAAGGGATTATCCCGGGTTTATGCACCTGAGCCGGTTGACAGCGAGGCTCAGCTTCCATTCGCTTTTCATGAAACTCCTCGGGATTCCGGAATCCGACAGAACCCTTCCCGAAAGAATGGAAGGGAAAGAATCAGGGTACCATGTGTTCATCATACACACAACACCCCGCAGGGCAGCAGATGTTTCGGTATTTTTGTCCAACATACGTGCTCAACGCGTTTAATAATTTGCAGCAAAAAATAAAATAACGTACAACGTACGAAAAAAATGACACACACAAAAATTGAATGGATCACAACTAATTCATCAGATGAAAAAAAAAGTACTGTGCGGTATTTACTCAAGTACCACTTGAACCTTTTTTTCATCGAAATTGAGAGGAAGACAAGAGGTTACGAATCATCTGCAGGAATAATATTTTTATTCATTTTAAACCCTTTGGTGCACATCATTCTTGATTCCAACGGGGCATTTTCAAACAATTTCAAAGTGGAAAATTATGATTCCATTTGACTACAATTCAAGTAAAAATTTCAATTCTTGAGAATTATACTTCCAAGATATTTCGATTCCCAAAATGGGGTGTTCGTCTTGCTCAGGGATAATTTTTTTCTCGAAAATTTAGGGTGAAAATTTTGGTTGTGCGTCTCACTCAAGGGCATTTGGTACTTGCGTAAATATGGTATTTCTTGCTGCAGCTATCTCAGGAATTTCTACAACACAGCTGACCTTAAGCTAACCCATCACTTCACCAATATTACGTAATTCCAAGCCTACAAAAAATATTTATTCGTTAAAATAAATATGTGAATGAATGAAGTCTAGCGACTCTAGCCCAATGCAAAAATACGATAACCCATCAACAAACTAAAATCCTTATAAAATAAAATCTTTATGATGAAAACATAATTGTACGAGAAATTTAGCCTTGAAATCGCGACTTTTCAACTGAGGGACACTAAATGTATCCTCTCCGTAGATAAAATCCAGTCTTGTCACAAAATACCTCATTACATAACGGTAAATTGATTGAAAAATTGTTTCCACACTTCACGAAGTTCAGCCACGATTTTTTTTTGTCTTGTCTTAATCACGTCTTCTAATCAACATCTCACTTGACCCCATTAACAAAAATTTAGGACGAAAATTGTTCAACAATTTCGACCTGAAACTCAAAACTTGATTTCACAAAAAAATCACGAGAATGGAGAAAAGAAAAGCGCAGTTTTGCATTGCCTTGCCCTTGAAATGTGAGAAATCCAGAAAGTTTTCAGCAAGAGTTGTCAGAATTCCTTCCTTTCCCCACCAACTAATATTAAATTAACAATTTTTTGCCGCAAAATACACGAATTTTATGACTTACTACTAATATATTTTGGATGAGAGTGGCTGGAACCAATTAAATCAATTACCATGTAACCTCAGGCGGGAAAATGCGTTTCACATGCCAAAAACTCATGCAGGACATTATTAGCTTCGTTATGCGGGGGCTCATTTTAGCCCAAAATTCACGAAGAGGTCGATTTTTCTTTATTTTTTTCTTCAGTCAACCGGTTGACATGATTCCACGAAGTCCGTCACGGTCAAAAACCACAGTCAAGACGAAGATAAAATGACATTGTAAAACTCTTTTTTTATTTTTAAATAAAAATTGTTAAACAAAAAAAGAAATACTGGCTCACCTTTCCCTGCATGAGGAGTCGGATCGTCAGCGTCACGCCGGCCTCCGCGGAATTCAGCACGGCCAGTCGCTCGGGTTTCGCCTCCACGGACGCCATTATTTCCAGTTCTTTTCTGTTTTTTTTCCTCTTTCTTTCAACTCCTCCTCAATTTCTTCTTCTCCTCCTTCTTTTCTTTGTTTTTTTTTCGCACACAAGGTATAGGAAAGGTTAGGATCAGGGAAATCAGCAGGACAAGATTAAGGGGAACGGATCACTTGCGAGAGAGACCGAAAAGCACGCGACTCCTTTCAGACCGGAGCGAAATAATTGTTTTTTTCTCTCCTCGAGTTGTGTTTTTTTGGCTCTTTGTCGAAGGGAGGGGAAAAAGACAATTGGAAAGATGTTGCTGATTCTTGTTCAGTTTCCCTGTCTTCTTTCAAAACCAGAAAACGATCTTCTTTCCGCACAATAACTGCTTTCGAACTATAACAAGACAATAAACGATAATAACTCGCCCCCTTTTTTTGTTTTTTATCCGGTCACACGGAAAATTCACTTTGGCTCTCAGTAACACGTTGGACACTTGGCTGCAATTCTTTCAACACATCGTAAAATAACAATTTTTGACGGGAGATACTTTCTAAAGCTTCTTGATTGATTGGTAACTTACAGTTGAACTAATCACTTGACGTCTGAGCCAAAAATTTCGATTTTAAAAAATATATCATTGAAATTATTCCAGTGAATTTGGGCCTATACAGTATTACGTCACCAAACTCGCTGAGAATGATTTCTTGCAGAAAAATTTAACATATATTTACTGAGCCCCGTGAAAATTCTGAAAATCCATAAAATAACCCGTCATCGTCTCCCCAGGTCAATTTGTAGAACAACAATGTTTTTCTCAAATTTTTAAGAATTCGAGAATAAGGAACTAAAATTACGTCAATCCAAGAGAGGCATCAGATCTCAAATCTACAAGGGGTACATGGTCAACCATTCGAGATCAGAAGAATTAAAACACACTCACAAAAAAAAAAAACTATCGGACTCAAAGAACAAGTTTAGAAAGATTCCTCATCACTTCTGAGACACGAATTTTTCCCTCGAAATCAAACCCGGGAAATTATTCAAAATGTCAAAGGGCATAGAGAAAAAAAATCACGCCTCGTCCTTATTTCGGGCATTCAGAGTACGTATAGAAATAATAAGCGGGATGATATACAAGAGGGGACAAGAAAACCAAGGGGTTCGACTCTTCCTTACGCAAGGGTTTCGAGGTGACGGGTTGGATTTGGTTGTGAACAGAGGTTTCAGTTCGGTTTTATTTGCGTTCTCTTTTTTTTTTTTTTTGGTGGTCGGGCTTCGAGGCGTCACGGAACGAAGTGCATGGAGTGGAGTGGATCTATTTTTTTCGGTGGCAAAGTCCAGATCCCAAACGAACAGGGGACTTTTTTGGTCTAAGCAAGCAAGCCTCCGGGTGTCCAGCATACGCAAAATCTGCGGGAGAGGAGAAGGAACAACAGGTAAAAAATCAACGCCAATTGCACAAAAAAAACACGACATTCCAAATTAATAATAAAAATGCCCGATGTTCCAGGTAAAAGAAAAAAAAATGAATAAGTACCAGGATGATACGAAACCCGCTCTTGTAACACGAAAACTTCCTTCAACGCAGTTCAAACAATTCCTCATATCCTCAATCGACGCTAAATATCTGAACCAATTTTTTTTATGTACCAAGCAAAAAATTAACGCAACAAAATTCAGAAGTTTTGATTGAAATTTGATTCAAGTTCTACAGTCTAGTACTTAAAGCTTCAAAATTCAGCACCTTCTTTTCCGAAAAGAATTTATTGATCTTCGAAAACTTTCTCGCTTTCAGGATTCATTACCCAAAAAAAGGGGTTGATCTTGTGATTCTATGACAATATTTTCTACAAAACAAATAGTCACACTTCATGATGAGGCATAAATGTTTGCCACTGTCGATCTGAATCGAAACTGAAGGTGTCTCAGCACAAAGAAAAAACTAACCAGTGATTCAGCGTAAATGACGCTTAACTCAGACGATGCAAGACACTTCAGCACTTTCACAATTTCACTACAAAATACAAAAAAACAAGACACCTGGGTGGAATGAAGGCACACGATTTATACAAAAAATAGAACCCTTCCAAATATTTGAGAACACGGCAGAAATTGTCAGTAAATTCCTGAGCAAATAACCAAGCATTACAGTATTTTATACCTTAAATTCAATAAATTAAACGGAAGTCCAAAAACCTTTTTTTTTGTGTGATTCTATTCAACCCGCAAAAACTTCCAAAAAGTCTTAATTTTTAAGAAAACCAAACAAAAGGATCATTCCAGACGGTTCCAGTGAAAGAAAAATACCGCAAAAATCCTGGTTATAAGAGAAAAATAAATGAAACGCTTTCAATCGGAAATTATTAGAACCCAGGTCTGTGTTTTTTTTTTTTTACTTTTTTCGCGCTACGACTCATCCGCAAGGAATGTGGACAAAGTGCGTCCGTGAAGCAGCAAAAATTTTGCTGACTCAACATTTTGTTTTTCAAAAAAAACGTGCCATCTGAGACACAGGATTTGTTCAAAGGCTTCACTCCTTGTTAGCTTCCTTTGATTTTTTTTTAACTACGTGATCTTTATACTAGTTTGCCTCTTGAAGTAAGTTGATGCTGGCTCATGCATATGTGTTTTAAGACGGAATATGATCTCCCTTATAAGGCTTTTATGCTTCAGCTGCTTAATAAATTCTTTTTTCACTCTCATTTCAACGATTTCAAGCATCGCGAATTCGAATTTCTGATTCACCACCATTTTCAATGAGCAAGTGCCGCAATTTCAAGCACATTTCAAGACGAAAATTGAGCCATAAAATATGCGATTTCTCAGAATTCAACATTATTTTTGAATGAAAAAATAATACTGTAGTCCATTTAAAAATGTGTTCGCCAACGCAATTCAAGGCATACAATTTCTCAGATTTCGATTCACTTTTTGAATGAAAAAATAATAATTAAGTAAAACTGTGTTCGCCAACGCAATTGAAAATATGCAAACCCATAAAATATGCAATTTCTCGGATTTCGATTCATATTTGGAATTATAAAATAATAGGTGAATGAAAAATACGTCCGCCAATGCAATTCCAGCTGTGCAATTTCTCACACTTCGATTCATATTCGGCATGATAGAAAATGACCGAATGAAAAATATATTCGCTAACGCAATTTCAAGCATGCAATTATTTTTAATGAACAGATAATTATAGAATGGAAAATGCATTCACCAACGCAATTCAAAATAAGCTATTTCTCAGATTTCGATTCACGATTTCGCATGAGAAAAATAAAAACAACAGTTAAATGAAAAATGTGTTCGCCGACGGAACTGCAAATCTTGTCGCAACCCATTCTGACATTCATGCTCGGGGGGGGGGGGGGACCCAGCGCAGGTGGGTTCCCTTCTCTCTTCCTTCAGTCCCGCCCCACTGGTCATAAATAATCCACCGCAATTAGCCCCAGACCCCCTCTCACCAACAAACCTTCTCCAACTAAACATGTTTAATCGAAACCCCGTTTCTCCTTGAATTATTTCCTCCCGCAGAAACAGAACACATCACAGGAATACCCCTACCCTTTTCTTCGCAGATAACACGATTTCATAAAATGCAAATTAGCACCAGGCGTCCGAGTTTATTTATAACGTGCCTTTAGCAAATGATCTATGAACACAAACGCGTGTCAAGAAGTCTCAGGGGGGTAAAAACCCACCTCCTCTTCTGCCTTCGACCCCCAATTTCTTTTCAAGAGAAGGGCTTCCGAGGTGAGGCAGAGGATCTTTCCCCGTTAGCAAAAGCTGCTTGGGCTTCACGCGAAAGCTATTTATATGCAGATAATTACACGGCTCGGAGAAATACGTAGGCGAAGTTCACACATACGCACAAGTTTTCAGACAATGCCTGGGGGAAACGGGGAGTAACTTGAAAGAGAGTTGAAATTTTGTACGTTCTTCATTAAAGGTCCCCGAACTTCTTGATAAAGGAAGGAAGGCGCGCTTTCGAAAAACGTGGGACAGAATTTTCAGTAATTTCTCCATCACTGTCAACGTTTCAATAGCAGAAAATTCAACAACAGCATGTGAATCAGAACATAAGTAAGCCAGTGTTATCAAAGAGCGCCGGAAGGAAAATTTAATTTTTTCCAGGTCCTCGCCAAGAATCCGTAATGAACCATTAAAACAGCTGATTTTTTTTTGCATAAAAGTGTTAATTTAAGATTTTCAGTTGAATCTTATTAAGTCAGACCTTTCTATGTCATTAACCTTTGGCTGTTAAAAGCCATTCCCTTATCTTTCTCCACAATTTCCTCTATTTAAACACATGGAAAAATAGGAAATACTGTAGTAAAGTAACAATAGGAACTTAATTTTGGTTGGAATTACCTTCTTTATAAACTGACTTTACAGTTAGTGAATTAAACCTTTTTTAAAGTACCAGTCTGAATTCCCTTATAGGAATAACACACTTACTCAAAGGCTTTCCATCTCAAACCCTAATAATTCGAATTTTCTGGAGGTCTTTTGGTGATTATTTTACCAAGACAGGAAATTAAAAAACAATAAAAATTGTAACCTGCTGTGTTTTGAAAGGAAGTCCAAGACATATTGGGTAATCAACCCTTTCTGTCAACTCATTTGAAAAGCAATTTAAGGCCCAGAATATCAGCAACCACAATTTCCCGAAATTCTTCTCTTTCCCACAACAAAAACGCTTCTTTCCCTAATTTTAAACCTATCTANACTGGAATTTTTTTAGGTGGTCCCTGGACGTTTGTATGCACAAGCATGAAATCTAAAAAATCCCTGATTAATTTTCGCTCTGACGTTCAAGAATTGCAAAGATAAACGGAGGCAAAAAGTTACTCCCTTTTCCTATTTTCCTCAATTTTTGAAGTAATTCCGAAATTTTAGTCAAACACTTGACAACATTCGAGAATGTTTGGGCCATAAACTTCTGTCATGCAGAACTACTGTAATTTGTTCATCAGTCACATACTGCCTCATGGAGAAATTTCTTAAATGCTAATTTTTCGTCACGCGGACCTTTTGTTATGCTGGGACTCAATGTAAATCGAAGCTGGTCTTAAATTATAAACGAACACTTCATACCATTTTTGTAGACGGGCAAACCATATCATGTACACTAAAAATGAGCAAGTACCACAGGAAAAGCCGCAGAAGAGCATTTTCATAAATGACCAGCAGAAATGAGCGATCATATGCATCAAAAGAGCAATTGCAGAAATAAATCCCCATTTCAAGCCGAATATTTTTTTTCGAAATTACCCCTTTCTTGCACATTCTTATACGTCTAATACACGAAAACATTTTTTTAAAGAAATGAATCGTCGAAATGAGAAAATAGCGAGGTAGGAACAGCATCCATCACTTCGGTCCAATCTCGAAATTAACCTTTCTAAAAACGTTTAATCTGACATTAGGAAGTATTGCAATTTTCCCAGAAGATGTTTACCCCCCAACCATCCTTCCCAAGATTCGCCAAGGTACACTTCCGAACTATAAATTACACTATTCGGGAGCCACTATGAGGAAGCACAAACGGGTTCCGTGGGTGGGTGCGGATACTCGCTTAGGAACCCTCGGCAGAGCCGCGGAAAGCCCCCAGGGAAATCAGAGTTTCAATTAGAGCACCATGATGGAGGATTAAACCCCGGGTTCCCCTTTCCCCCGGCACTGCGTGGATCCCAAGGAACCCGTCCCGCACAGAAAAATGAAGAAGCCTGCAAGCCGGGTAATCAGGTTTACGACGAAGCCTCACGACGACGTTCGAGGCCAGAAACAAACACCCCGACGACAGACTTTTACGTAAGTACGGGGCCCGAGGGACAGAAATCGAACGTCCGGTCAACCGCCTCGTGCTGCTTCCCGAAGTCCTACAAACGTTCACCTTATATACAAAGGGTTTCCGAACTTCTAAAATCATGCGGCAAAAGTTAGTCCTACGAGTTCGACAGAAAAGCATTCCTACGAAACGAAAATGAAGAACTACCGGACACGACAAATTAATCACCGATTTCTTTGAGGTGATCTTGTTTTATTACGCACGGCATCACTGCATATAGAACAAAACCTTTGACACAAAATGATGATATCGAAAACCGGAAGCATTTCAACGAAACCAATGAAAACTCACGAAGAAGAAAAATTAACGACCAATTCTTAAACGGGATGGCTTTTGAAAATTCTTTTCTGTTTTATTCCGCACGGCATCACTGAACAAAAGCTCATCACAAAAGGATGATATAAATAAGCCGAATCCGCGAACACTGTGCTTCAGGAGTTATTTCGCGTTCATTTTTGGGTGTCAGTAGCTTTTTCTTAGCAGGTTACGATAAGTAGCTAGAAAGGACCACTCATTGTGCCAGCAAAGTTAGGAGAAGAAATAACTGCTATGCCTTAAAGAAACAAACGAAACGCTTCCAATTCACCAAGAAGTTTGACATATTCAACTGGCATCACTGATCGTTTTTCTCCTGTCATCATAAATGATATTCAAGACCTTAAAGAGCCACCAAGTAAACGAAGTCCTCTGCGTGACTGATGACCATCAGCCCCGCACTCACGCATGTCTTTCCTCACGTAGCAATAAATTCACCGGTGAAAAAATTGAGTACCCAGTGGTGATCCCCGTTTGACCCCGCCGCCAAAAAAATCCCAAAAAGGGCCTTTCATTCCCAGGCCCCATTAAGAGGGCTGCAGATTTTGTCTCGTCTCAGTCGCGTTTGATGTTAAGTACAGTACTGATGAAAAGTTTCCCAGTGCCCTCTACGTAACCTTTACAAGACAACCCAGCGAACCCACGGCAATGAAGATTACGATCTCGCAAGGACACCTTGACCTTCTGGTATCTCGACATGGGAAAATATCGCTGAGAAAAAGTTTCCGAAGGTTGATGCAGAAAACTACTTCAGCGCATTCAATCATGAGAATACGACTTGCACGCAGTTGGAATAACGGGGCAGAAATACGCAATATCCCTCACACAGAGAATAGATTCCCGTTACATAACGGCGAAATAGAAACTTTT